AAATCAACATAACTTGAAGGCCTGCAGTGAAAAATGACCTAAGAAAACAAACCTCTTCAGCTAAAGTAAAGATACACTGTATTGATGTATCTCTGAATTGTTTATTCCTAATAAGTAATAGCAAGCTGACATTTAAAACGAGCTGGGAATGCGGTGGGTTATGGTGAGGGAGGGCAGGGCTCTGCCTGCTGATGGCAGAGCTGGGGAGGGTGTGTGATGAGTTTGCCTTCAAAATGTTTCTCCCTGGCACACCCCAGAGATGAGGATAAACACAGGTTTATCCATCCGCAATGGCTGCTGGTGTGACTGTCTCTTTCTCACTGTTTCTAGTGACCTCCTGATGCGGGACAACCTCTTTGAAATCATAACAAGCTCCAGGACCTTCTACATCCAGGTGAGCAGCCAAGGCTGGGGTAATTTTCGGAGCAGTGAGTTGGGCTGTTCCCCGCAGCCCCTCAGCAGTGGACATGAACAGATGGGGCTGTAACACACGAGTTACGGTTGAGGGAGAGCTGTGGGGGGGTTTCACTTCTCCCTTGGGCTTATTTATAATAGGGACTGTTTGAGAGCAGGAAAAGGCAGAGCTGAGCCTCGGGAATGCCGGGACAGCGGGTGCCTCACGTGTCCGTGCGTGGCTGCACCACGGGTGGCAGGAGGCAGAGCCTCACTGGGGCTGGTGTGTTTGCAGGCAGACAGCCCCGAGGACATGCACAGCTGGATCCGGGCCATCACGGCCGCAGTCCAGGCCCTGAAGACCCGCCCCAGGGTAGGTCACGTCCTTTCTGCTTCATATTTAGTGTCTAATGGAGTTTATGCCAATGTGTGAGAGATTTGTTTAGTGGATGGTGTAAGTGCTTGGTTAGACTGATTCCAGGGTGAGATCCCTGCCCTCCCTGGGTTTACCAGTCACTGGAAAAGCTTCCTTGAAAAAGTGGAAGAGTGAGATTCAGCTGTCAAGGTGGACCTGCGTGAGCCCTGCTCTGCTCCGAGGCACCAGCGAGAGGCTGATGGATGGCAAAGGCTGTGGAATTTCCCTTTGCTCTAGGCTCTTTTCTCTCCTGCAGAGAGTGTAGCGGGCAGGGCACAGCGTACAGACCCAGCAGCCTCACTCTGCCCTGTCCTTGCAGGAGATGTCCTTCATGAGATCCACCTCCATGGGCAGGCCGGGCGGCTCCTCGGCCCCATCGCAGCCACGGCCGGCGGCGGAGGAGCGGAGAGCGCCGTGCAGGGCCCCGTCCAGCTCGTCCTGGCAGCCCTGGACGCCGGTGCCGCCAGGGGCTGCAGGCGGAGGGGAAGCGGCCGGAGCCGCTCAGAGACTCGGTGTTCGTGCCGGCCCTGACGGAGCGCGCCGGCAGAGCCGCTCCAGGCACGCGCCTGCGGCACCGCTCGGAGCCGCAGCATCTCAAGGAGAAGCCGTTCGCCTTCGACCTGGACGATGAAAGCATCCGGACCTCGGACGTCTGACCGCGCACCGAGCCACCCCCCCGGCTCCACCCGCTGCCCCCGCGGCTGCCGGGGGTCCCTGAGGGGCGATTCGGGCTGTGCGGGGCGGGCCCTTCCCTCCCCACAGCCCTTCCCTGCCATGCGGGATCGCTCTGGACCTGCATCCTGTGCCCTGCTCTGCAGGGAGCGGGTCCCTGGCTGCTCCTGCCTGGGCTTGGCCCCAGTGGCTCCTGTTTTGGAAGGTGCTGCCAGCACTTGCTGTGTGGGGCAGGAGGTGCTGGGGACCCGGATGAGGGGACATCTTCTGCAGCTCCATCATTTCCCCCAAAAAACAAGTCTGGAGGAAGCGGCAGGAGGTCTTGGAAGCGTGAAGGGAAGTGTGGCCTTTCTTGTGTTTGAAAAACATTTCTGCCCCCTTTGAAGCTGCTCAGACTCCCCAGGAGTGGGGAAGAGCTGAGAGATAACCAGCCCACAGCTGCCCACACAGGGGACTCGCTGCAGCTTCCCCTTCCAATGACTTATTCCCCTCGGACCAGCTCTTCCCACCGCCTGCCCAGGGGTGTATCAGCAATCTGTTGGCTTTTCATTACGTCCTTTTTATACCTGTGGCTCCTGTTGAACCCCAGCCCGGGCAGGTGCTCAGCCTCTCCAAATGTTTTTTGGTACTTCCTGAGCACAAGCTGGAGCAGGCAGCTGGAGCAACAGTGGCTCCCAGGTGGGAGCATCCTCAGGTACGGTGTTGGTTTTTCACTGTGCACACCTGGACACACTGGGTGGTGAAGGGCTTTGAGCAAAAAGCACCGAAAACCGAGTGCCTGATGGAACTGGGCAGACTTGTCTGGCTGACTCACCCACTGCCTGCCCGAGGTGGAAACCACCAGGAGATTTTTAGAGCAATGTGAATCGTGATTTCCATAACCAAATGAGCTCCTGTAGGTGTGATAAATAGTGTGTAGAAAATCCAGGTGTTCCCTTGGCAGCCAGATCGCCTGATACCTTCACCCCGAAAGGGAGTGCAATCCCGGGTGCCGAGTGAGGACACAGCTTCCCTTTCGCTTCCCTGGCCATCGCACATCCTCTGCTCTGCAAACTCAGCCCAACGTGCTCCCCAGGAGCGCAACATCTGGTTTCTCCCTGCCCTTTTGGGGCCTCCAGCTGTTCGACAGCTGTGCTTCAGCCTCAGCCCAGGGCTGAGCGGAGCTTTATCAGTTGAGCTCTGAGCCTCGACGAGCCCAACTGACCTCAGCACGATTCCAATTGCACCTTCCTGCCTTGATCCCCTCTGGGGATCGGTGGGGCTGCTCCGGGGCAGGCACAGGGGAGCTGCCTTGGTGCAGCTGGGGGAGGCAGGATGGGGCTCCCCGAGTTCAGGGGCAAGAGGGTCTCAGAAGGTGTTGTGTGGAGGTGTTGGAGAACATTGAGACGATGAAAACAAGTGGGAATCGAAGCAAACGGTACGGGGCAAGTGTTAGTACTTGTTATTTAATTGTAGCAACTCAGATCCTGCTGTTCCTTTTTCTGCTCCTTTTTGCTTTATTTGCACTAGAGTTTGAAATCTTTAATTTTTTTAGGCTGACTTGCTGTTTGGCTCTTAACACAGTGTTCCAGGAATGTTTTAGTAGTTTGGTAAGCCCATCCATCAGAGTCACAGTGTTTGTTGACAGCGCTCTGACCTCAGTTTTGGAGAACAGGGAACGCAGAGGGGTGATGGTTCCTTCGTCCAAGGCCTTGGAACCACGGAGTCCTGAGTGTTCCTGGTGCTTGATAATTGCACAGTTTCCTCAGGCCTGGGATGGTAAAACAGAAGCTTGTTGCACAATTAGGGTTAATTATCCAGGAGGAGAAACTACCAGTGACTCCAGCATTATTGCAACATTCCTGTTGCTCGTTCCCACCCTCCCGCATCCCCAGGACAGTGCAAAGGCTGCAGATGAATTTCAAGTGTGGAGCTGAGCTGTGCTCCAGACCCATCTGTTATGCAGGTGGTGTTGGGGAGAGGAACTTCCGTCCCATCCTGAAGGACCGGGCAGATGCAGCCAGACCTCAGTGAGCTTTGTGGTGATTTTAATGCAAACTGGTGTCCTCTTAGCTCTGCATTTGCCTCCCAGCTCCCTGGCATGGACACATCCCCCGGAGCTGCTCCCTCCTGAAGTGTGTGCTGTGGGCTTTGCTGGGGGTGCTGCAGATTTGGGGTGCCTTGCAGGCAGAGTGGTGTGACAGGAGGGTTTGCTCTGTTCTGATGGACATTCCCAGGGGATTGCAGACGTTCCTGAGTGCTGGCTGGGGATCTCAAGTGCTCTTAGGGCCGGGGGCCTGGTGCGGGTGATGCTCCAGGGTGTGGGGTACCTGCCTCCCCCCTCACCTGTAAATGCTGGAGGGCCCTTTCTTCCCAGTGTTTTTAAATAAAGAGGGAAATCCCAGTTGCTTTCCCACGCCGTCCCATTGCACTGTGTATTTTGGGTAAGAACTGCCAGGGGGTTGAACGCTGTCCCCAGTGGGGTGGGGGCACAGGGTGCAGCAGCTGGGGGGAACCCGAGAGCACTGGTGGGTACCCCCCACCCTCAGGGTACTGCTGCCCTGCACACACGGGGGCTCTGGGTCTGGGGGGACAGTACATGGTGGGCACAGAGATGTCTCTTTGCCTTTCTGAAGGCACAAGAAGGAGGGAAGCTGCCAGAGCAAGGCCCTGGGTATTCCTCAGTGCAGCTCAGGAGAGCCTGTGCAGGAAGGAATTTGAGGTCCTGCTGTGAGCTGGCAGCAGGGGGCTGGGACGTGGGAGCTGTTCATGACAATGGGCTTTTGCACCGGGGATTATTTAATTTTTTTTTTTCTGGCTCGCTGCAGAATTTTTTCCCCTCCATGGACTTTTCAGCCCAGTTGTTCTGCTGAGGAATGTGGCAGTTTCAGGATGAAGCCTCCCCCTGACCCCAGTCGAAGCTGCCAAGCTCAGATCAGTGGTGACCTAACTGGGCAACAGCCCCCCCTTGCCCTGAGAGGAGTTGGTGCAATGAGCCACAAACCAGAACTGGAACAGGCACAATTCCCAGGCAAGCTGAGCCCCGAGGCAGCTCCACAGGAGTAGAACTGCAGGGTGAAGGTGGCCAAAGGCAAAGGGCTGGAGGGGCCTCAGCCTGCAGAGCTGTGTGAGACCAGGAGTGTTTGCTGGTTCACCTCAAGTGTGACTGGACATTTGCATACACAGATCTTTGTGTCTGGCCCTGGCTGGGACTTGCTGCAGCTTCCTTTTCCCCTTTTTATTCAGCTCGGTGAGTTTTCAGCCTGCAGCTGGTGGGGCTTCCTCTTTTGGGTGCGAGGCTGCTGCAGCTCCCACAGGCACCCCACGCTGGGGCTGGGGCTGGAGGGGTGCCTGGCACATGGAAAGGAGCTGCCCCTTGGCAGCTCAGGGCCCTTCCCAGCACTCTGATGGCTCCTGGATGCTTTGCCACAGAGTCCCTGTAACGGGGTTTACTCAACCTTACCATGAGGTCACCAGGGTGCTGGGGCTGGCCTCCATCTCTGGGTGGCTGTGACTTAATTAATCCCCAAAGGACGTGGAGTCAGCTCCTTCCAGATTTTATTAAGGTTTGTTTGACCTCCTCTGTTTGCAAGGTCTGATTTCTTAAGCTGTCACTGTGGGGGGTGTGTGGGGGGGGAGAGAATCCAGATTATTTTAAATAAGCAAAATATACACTGACCAACATTGTGTCCAAGGTTTGTACAGAGGCATTAACGAGACTAACTGCTCTGCACGGTGAGTTCCAGCCCTGTCAGTCCACGTTGTGCCAGGCAGTCTGGGCTGTGCTGGGAGCGAGGGGAGGTGCCCAGGGAGGGCTCCAGCCCTACCCCTCCCTCAGTACACGGTGCACCAGTTGCTGCCATCGCTGGGCATCAGCCCTCCGGTGATGAGCAGGATCAGATCCACGAACCACCAGATGCCCAGGCCCCCCAGGGTCAGCAGCTTGCCCACGGCCGTGCCGGTGTGGCCCAGGCAGAACCGATCCACACCGAAGCAGCCCAGGAAGAAGGAGTAGAGCAGCGTGGTGATGAAGTAGTGCCCGGTGTACCTGCCAGGGGAGAGGCGGAGGGGTCAGGGGGTGCCAGCCTTCCCTGCCAGCCCGGGGCGGGCTCGGTGCCGCGGGCAGCGGGGCTGGGGGTCGCGGGGCCGCTCCTACTTGACGCAGGGCCGGCTGCCCCGCAGGAAGCTCCGCGGCTCGGCGCACTCGATGCCGTCCAGCGCCCGGCACTGCACCCGCGTGTGGTCCACCTCGCCGTGGGCCTGTCCGCCGAACTGCGGCGGGGGCAGCGCTCAGCGGGGCCGGGGGCAGCTCCGCGGGCCGCCCCCCGCCCCCGGCCGCGCCCTCACCTTCACGCAGCCGTGCCCCAGCTCCTGCTGCGCCGTGGCGTTCCCGCCGTGATCCACCGGCTCGTCGCACTCCACGAACTCCTCGGGGCTGCGGGGAGGGAGCGGCCGGTGAGGGCGGCCCGGGCTGGGCCGCTCCCGCCCCGCCGCCCCCGGCCCAGCGCTCACAGGTAGGTGCACAGCACGAGCGGCGCGCGCGGGTCGGTGTAGGCCCAGGCGGAGGCGGGCGGCCCCGGCGGCGGGTCGCGGGGCTCGGTGTCGTTGCCTGGGAGGCCGCGGCCGTGCAGCAGCAGGAGGTTACCGAGCAGCAGCGCGGCCTGCCCGCACAGCAGCGCGTACCCCACGGGCGGCGCCATGGCGGGACCGCCGCCCCGCCCGGCCTCGGGCCGCGCCGCCCGCAGCCAATGGGCGCCCGCCGCCGCGCCGCCCCCGGCCAATGGGCGCGGGGAAGGGCGGCCCGCAGCCAATCAGAGCGAAGGCGGAAGAAGCCGCGGAAGGGGCTGCGCGCCAGCAGGGGAGGCGATTGGCTGCGGGGGAGGGCTGGCGGCCAATGGCACGAGGGGAGCGGCTCGGAGCGCGCCTCCCGCTGCCGGGACCGCGCCCGGGGCTCGGGGCTCGGGGCTCGGGGCTCGGGCACCACCGGGGCTCCACCGGCACCACCGGGGCTCGGCCGTGCTGCCCCGCTCGCCCTGAGCCGCCCGCGCGGGAGGAGCGGAGCTCCGGGGCTGGCAGATCCTGGTCCGTGCTGCCGGTAACGGGCAGCGGGGCGGCCGCAGCAGCGATGGGTTCTAGCCGGGCTCCCGCCGGGGTCACCCCGCCCCGTGGGAACGGGACGCGGCCCTGGTGCGTTTGTGCGCTGTTCCTTAGTAAATTCGCTCCACTGAGTCATTCCGCGCGTCTGCTCTTTTGTGCTGATTTAAGGGAGAATCGCTCCTATCTCAGCCTTGGAAAGAGCGAAACATCCTTATTGGAATATCAGGTAATCCCAGTGCGATGGGTTTTCTCACTTTGCCTCACTTTTCTAATCACAAAGCCCGTGCTGGAGGCAGCGAATGGCCCCAGTCCAGAGCTCGGCTCCAAGGTCTCACTTGTGGCTTCAGATACTGCAGAGCTCCAGGATTTATTGGGTAGTTTCGCCTGGTTCTTCCAGAGAATCTCCCATCGAGCCTGAACAACAGTTCTGTGGATTGTGGGCATCCCAGGTGCGTTCCACCTGGCTGAGCATCTGAGCAGGGATTTTATTTGACCCCAGACGTGTGCTCAGGAGCTGTCCCAGCTGTCTGGCCTTGTCTCTGGAGCCTCAAGGGGTGTTGTCTTCAGTTCCTTGTATTGCAGGGCTGCAATGGTGGTGCTGAGTGATGGGAGAAGCCAGTGGAGATGGATGTGGCTCTTGCTACATACGGACCTTTGGAATCTCTTGCCCCTCAGGCAGGAACCATGGGATGATTCACGTTTGTGCATTATTTGTACAGTGCACAGAGGTATCTGTATGTGATCCATGATATTATCATAATCCATGGGAAGCCTCCTGTATCTTGGGCAATGCCCAGGCCCTGGGTATTTATCCCCTGGCTCAAGCGCTGTGTGCAGGCTCTGGAGGGATGGAGATGGAGAACCTCGGTGTCATGTTTTTGTCTGGGCTCTCACACACCGTGTGTCGTGCTGCTCCTCCATCACCCACACGTGACGTGACAGATGTGTCACACGTTGTTTGTTCCTGCTTTTCCCAGAGGAAGATGCTGAGCTCCGAGGATGCCCTGGCAGGGCAGGGCCAAAGTCTGTGACAGTGTCTCATTCTGGGGAGTTTCTCCCACTCACCTGTACCTGTGGTATTGCCTGGCTGCGTTGTGTTCCGTGTGCTTCCAATGTATTGGGAAAAGGTTCTTCCCCCAGAGGGTGGTTGACACTGAACAGGCTCCCCAGGGCAGTGGTCACTGCCCCAAGGCTGCCAGAGCTCCAGGAGTGTTTGGACAACGCTCCGAGGGACAGGGTGAGATTTCTGGGGCTGGAGTTGTGCTGGATGATCCCTGTGGGTCCCTCCCAGCTCAGTGCTTTCTGTGACTCTGTGCTTCCAACGTGCAGCGCAGTTTTTTGGGCAGGCAGAGCGGTCCGTGCTGACACCGGCTCCCTTCGCGGGTGTTTCCTTCGGGAACCCGGCGCTTTGGGGACTGGGTTGGTTTTAATCCCCAAAAGCACTGGAAAAGTCGAGGCTCTTCCCGCCGCCGTCCGGGTAACGCGGGGCAGTGGTGCTGCCCGTGGGCCGGTGTGCCGGTGGGTGCCGATGCCCGGGGCTGGGGGCCGTGCCAGGGCTGGGGGCCGTGCCAGGGATGTCCCGGTACTCGAGGCTCGGGGCCGTGCCGGGGCGGTCGGTCGGGCGGCCCCGCCCCGGGGCGGTGCAGCGCAGCGCAGGCCCCGGTCCGGCTCCATAAGGCCGCGGGGCCGCCGGCCGGACCCAGCGCCCCAGCGGGAGGGGCGATGCGGGCGGGGAGCGCCATGGCCCGGGCCCGGAGCCGCCTCTGCCACCTCCTGCTCGTCCTCCTCCTCCTCCTCCTGCCGCCGCCGGCCGCGCCCGGGCAGCCCGCGGGTGAGTGCGCGGGGCCGGGCCTGCCGCCCGCACCCCCTCCGGCCCCCCATCCCCGTGCCCCCTTCCCCGTCCTCTCCGGAGGGTCGGGCCTCCCTCGGCATCCCCGGGGTCTGGCAGCCCCTTCCCCTCCCCTCCGAGGGGCGGCAGGTGGGGCGGGGGCCACCCCCCTGCCCGTGTCCTTGGCCGGAGCGGGGGGTCCTGTCCCGTGTGCCCCGCGGGGGGGCTCCGAGGGCACGGGGGGCTCCGAGGGCACGGCGGGTCCGTGTGCGGGGGTGCCGGGGGGTCTCCCGTGTCAGCAGGAGGTGCTGCGGGGGCCGGCCCTGCCCGGGATCGTCGGTGCTCCCGGGCAGGGCTGGTGCGGAGGGGCCGCCACGGACCCCGGAACGCGCGGGGCGGTGCCGGGGCTGGGCTCGGGGCCCCTCGCACCTGCCCGAGTTTGCAGGTGCCCAGGAGAGCTCCCCGTTCGCGCCCCAGCCCTCCCTGCCAGGCGCGGTCGAAGGCTCTGGCGAGGCAGGAGGCAAAGCACCCCCGGGAAGGGCTGTACGGGTGGGTGGCCTTGGCCATCGAGGGACCCGGGGGTCCTGCGGAGCCGGGCTCGGGCAGGACCCCACGGGCTGCTGTCCCCGGGGACTGGGGGCAGGACTCGGACACGCTCACACCATGCTCGTGATGTGGCGCTTAAGGAGTTGTTGCTGGTGTGTCCTCGGGGGCAGTTTATGAATTGAGACCATTCTGTTTATGGGCTCCTAAGGTCCTGATTCAAGGCTATACATACACAACAGGCAGAACTGTCTCTCTCTCATCATTTCCCCCTCCTGAAGAGACACACATGCTATGTTAAACTTCTATGTTTGTCATTAATGCATGTTTTTATAGGCAGGGCTTCCCCACTGAGGAATCTTCTCTAAAGCAGGTACTGGTGCCTCATGCTGAGGACAGTGCTCGTGTGGTCGGTGCCTCTCCTAGAGGGATTCTGTGCTGGAATCTCTTCTTTCACTTACAGTGGTGTTACTGGCGGGCGTGGGTCCTCTCTGCCTTCGGAAACCTCTGTCCCAGCTAATAACACCAAACCTGCCATGAAACATAATAAACCTCCTTCGTCTGAAGTCTGAGCATGAAGGGGAGGGCAGAAACCTCCAGCTTTTGGGTTATAATGCAAGTGCTTTGTACACACATAAGGATGGGGAAGAAATACAGTGCTACCGGAAACTATTAATTGAAACTTCCTGAATGACCATAATCACACAGTGATGTGTGGCCTTAAGGGATTTGTGGAGTGTGGCTTTTCCTCTCCTATTTGTGTCCACGGGAGGCCTCAGGGTTTGGCTGTGTGAATTAAAAAAGAAAGCATAGGCAGGGACTTTGTTTTTTGCCGCTTGTTCTCTTCCTTGGTACTTGGTGTCACACACACACCAGGATGTTCCAGCCATACTTTACCAGTTTTTGAAAGAATTCTTAAAGTTTTTAAATGCTTGGGTTTGAATTTCTGGGGAGACAGGGTGTTTGGTTAAGATAATTCCTTTGTTCAGATCGTGGAAAACAGAGCACTGCCTCACCCATATTTCAACAAATCTGAGACAATCATTCAGCAGAATAAAGAAGGGGTTTGTGGTTGTTTCCTCCATGTGAGGAGTAATGAGAAGAAAGGCATCTCAGTGTGGCTAACGTTGCCTCTTGTAGAGCTTTGCTTTCAGGAAAAGGAGGTTTGAACCATGACTTTGGAGTGTCCGCACATCTCGATCGTTCTCATTTCTCAAGCTAAAATTAAAATAAGAAACAGTGCATTATTGCACGGTTCCCTTTGGTGGCGAAGCCAGCGATGTCTCCAAAGAGAAGGTTCCCATGGGCTCTGCTGTGTGAGCAGAGCTGACACAGCTGCTGAGATGGGGAGGAAGTGAGTGGGCTCAGTGTGCTCAGCTACTCTGCATGGACACGCTGTCACGGGTGAAAGGAAGGGACTTCAGGGCCACTGATGCAGAGGAGGGGTGTCACAGTGGGATTACTCATCTTCCTCCACAGGGTATTGGGCTTTGCCCTGCTTCTCCTTGTGAGAAGGTCCCAGGATGCAGAGGATGTTGTGACAGTACCAGCAGACACGTGTGACAGTCCTTTTTGTGGAACAAGGGGAGCTGTTGTCTTGCAGACAAATTAGTGTTGCTTTAGGAAGGGCAGAAGGAATGGGGAGAGTCTAGACAGGAAACACTTACAGCATAGGTCTGGATTTCAGCAAGGGGAAGGTAAGAATGTTCTAGGAAATACTGCTGTGGAAGAGCCCTGAAACCTCATCAGTGTCCAACACCCCCAGTGAAATACTGAGAGAAACTGCATTAGCTGTTCTGGCCAGCTTTAATGTTACACAAATATTCCAGGTGAGCAACACAGCGAGTAGATAATGTGCCTCCCTTGGCATGATGGTTGGTCATCTCCTCCTGCCTACTGAAAGGGACCAGGACAGCAGGAGACCCAGCAGGTCTGAGGACTGAGCACAGGGCAGGGAATAGATGGAAAGAGGAGTCTCAAGTACTCTGCCCTGTAGAAGAACAGCTGGCCAGATGTTGCTGGGTGCTTTGAAGATGAAGCACCACCGAGGCACTCCTTAGCCTCTGAGGTATGGGAGGAGCTGGAACTGCTGGCTCCATAAGACATGTTCCTACTTTTAGTGGAAGACTCACTAACTTTGTGTGTTGTATAAACTTCTAAACATTTTTAAGTGGACTTGAATAATATTTACATAATGAAAGTGAAGGAGGTGTTTGCTTCCAGTAATCCAAAGAGTAAATTCTGCTACAGCTGTGATCTTAGTGGAAAAGTCAACTGCACCTAAAAATGCTTTTCCTGGTGTGTCACTGCTTGGAGAAATCCACTGAGGAGGCAGTGGTGGTTCTGTTGATCTGAAGGACGTCTGTAAGCCAGGCCATGGAAGTTTCTCCTCAAACAGAAACTGCTTGGCAAAGTCCTTCATGATTCTGAAAATAGGATACGGAGAATGCAGATTGATCTGGCAGCTGGTACCCTTCCAGCCGGTTGGGATTCAGGCTCCTTAAAGACAGGGATAGCAATCCCAGTGATTTGGACACAGAGAAGTATCTGGCAGAAAGAAGGGACTTTGAAAGGACAGTGCAGAGTGTTCTGCTGAGGTGGAAATAATTGTCTGCACAAGATCACGAGTATGAGAGGGTGAAAAATGGGGAGCAAGGATTGTGTTGGCCAGAAAGGAAGTGAGTGTTGGAGTAGGTTAAATGACAAGTGAATCAACCACGTGCCATGTGTTTTGGAGGAAGATCAACCTGTGGAGATCCATAAACACACAAAGCACATGTGCCTTGGTGTGTGAGGTCTCACTGGGATGTTGTGTTCTGTTGTGGGTCCTTCTCTGGCATAGGTATGGTCTGACTGGAGAGTGGAGCCAGAACAACCTAATATGAACAGGCAGAGGTGTAAGATACAGGTTCCACAAGGAAATACTGAATATTGGTGTTCCTTAGTTGAAGGAAAGGAGAGGGAAGTGTGACAGCACACTCTGGAAATCCAAAGATTTGCAGCCAGAGAGAAGGGAGTGAACTGTTCACCTCCTGTGGGGATTAGAGGTACAGCTTAAAGCACAATGAATGTGATCTGTTGGAGATCAGGGTGCTTGGTGGAGCTGCTCTGCGTGCAGCTGGTCCTGCCCTGGGCCCCGATGGGCTGGATGGTGTGTAAGGCTTTTGGCACTTCTGGTGAGCAATCCCCTGCCAGAGTGAGGAAGGACTGGTGTACATGACCTCGGCTAATTGATGATAACCGGGGTAATTTAATGAGTTTGGGTATTTAATGCTTTAGCAATGTGCATCTTTTGACTCATGTGCGTGGTTGATGGAAGATCAGAACTGATTGCTGGGAACTGGTGCTCTGGGTTTAGCATGGTTTGGGTCCAGCAGTCCCCCTCCTCTGTGGGGTTTAGGGCACGTTCCTTGTTAGCATCTGCCTGCAGCCCAAGCTGCTGAGCTGCTCATGTGCTGATGAGCTTGTTTTTATGAAATTAGTTGATTTGATGGTGTAATAGGCCACACTCTGAACTCTTTTTTTTTTTCATCTTTGCTTCCACTGAGGAGCATTCCATTGACCTCCCTTTGGTAGGCTTGGGAAGGAGTCACAGCCCAGGAAGGATGATAATTGAGGGGAAGTGTGAGTGTAGGTGGATGTAGCTGTGTGCTGGGACTGTAACTGAGCCAGCAATCCGTGGGCATGCCAAGGTCCAGGAGTGACCTTTGCTGGATATAGACCTTACCTGTCAGGCAGTGAACACCCCAAGAGCTCAGCTCAGTTCCTGGGGAGCCGTTATGGCTGGGATGTGTTCCCGTGGTTTTCAGGCTCCCACATGCCATGGGGCATGCACAGAATTCCTATGGTGGATTTGGGGCTGGGAGGGGAAGATGATTCACGTCTTCCTAGCTGCCTCCAATGCTTGGTAATTAATGGCAGCCTTTAATGAGATGAGATGAGATAAATGTGGCAGATGCAATGGTGTTTTTCTCTTTGGAAACACAATCTCTACCTGTGTTCCAGCAGGGAGTGGAGCAGCATGTTCTCGGTGGTGACGTAGTACAGCTCTGATAGCTGCCTTGGCCACTGGCAGGAAGCACCTGAGGACTAGAAGTCCTATAACTTGCTGAAAAATTTATTGCAAATGGCTGTGCTTGAGAACCATTAATGTACTGCAGTGGAGTTTCTCTAAAGGGCAGAAGAGGAAGCTACAACAAGCAGCTTATCCTGGGGACAGATAATATCAATATCTTCAAACATGTTGCACTCAGCGTGGAAACAGGTTATTTGTGAAGTGAGGAGCAGTGCCAGGGAGATACCTACTGGAGACACCCCATCACCTCCCAAACTTGGGGGGGGAAGGAGGGCAGAAAGGGGGGAGAGAATTGTCAGAGTATTCAGAGAGTTGAAAATTGGCTTCTTTTAGTGCCTCTGCTCTAAGAGGATTGTCTTGGAGTTGCACTCTTCCCAGAAATCCCTCCCAGTTCTGCTTCATGTGATGATTCACTTCTTTGTCTTCTGCTTCCAAGCAGCTCTTGGGGAGACGTGTCATGTTCCAAGTGCTGTGAAGGTTGTGAAGGTTGGCTGTGCCCTGCTGTTCGTGTGACCTGTGCCCTGAGACCTCCAGAACCCGGCCCAGGTGCCACAGTGTCCCACCCCACTACAGCAGGCACGTGGGGGTGGCAGGGGGAAGGAACAAGTGCAGAGCAGTGACTGCAGGAGCTTGGGGCTGGGCACGAGTGGAATGTGTGGAGCAGGCTTCCCGTGAAGCTTTGAGCCCACAGAGCTGTCATTTGATCAGGGAAGCCAAAGGCCCTTTGGAGGTGTGGTGTGGGTTTTGGTGTGCCCAGAGGGGCTGCTTTCAAATGGATGCAGCATCCTAGTCCCACTGGAGAGTTTTTGGAGTATCTCAGACACCAAACACTGGCTCACCTGCCCCAGATGTGGTGATGATCTCTGGAGAGAGACGGTGAGGATAACTGTTCCCTTCCCTTCCCCCTACCTTTGTCGGGAAGCTCAGGCTCCTCTGATGAGCTCATTGATTCCATTGCCATGAGCCAGTAAAACCACTGCTCTGGATCCTGCCTTCGATCCTGGGCGACCAACCTCCTGCTTCCTGGGGGAGCAGCTTCCGAGCCAGGCACTGGCAGACACCACCATGATGGCAAAAGCAATTTGCATGTGCAATTTATTGTTGTTTACACAGTTGATGTAAAAGAGTTGCTTGCAAAGCCTGGTGTTTTATGAAGGGAGCCTGAACTCTGGATTTGTGTTTGGTTCAGGGCATCTGTCTGATGTTGCATATGCAAATAACACATAAAGGGACCTGTGAGGGCCACTTTGTTGCAGGGATTTGTTTCACCTCAGTTGTTTTGATGAGGCCCTCGAGAGCTGTTTAAGAACATAATGAATAGCATCAGGCTCATGTCAGGAGTTTGGCAGTGCTGAGCGGGGTGAGAGTGTGAGGCTGAGCTGTTGGGAAGTGCAGGAGCTGCTGGAGCTCCTCGAGAGAGGCCACGAGGCTGAACCAGGGCAGTTCTGCAGCTCTGCTGCACAGGACACCTGGTGTGGCACTGCCTGTGCATCCCTGAGCGAGTCCTCGCTGCGCTGACTCCCTTTAAATGCTCCCATTCCTGCTGCTGGAGAGTGGTGGTGTGTGAGATGGGCACTGCTGAGACAGTAATTGGCATGTGAAGATTTAGTTTTGAAGCTTTCTGGTAAATTTGGTGTCTTCTCTGCTGTTTGTGTGTTGTTTTCTCTGACCTCTTACAAGGCAATCCAAGCGTGCAATCCAAGCGTGTCTCATTGTGAGGTTTCCTCTGCTTTTCCTGAAATAGTGTTTTCTTCCTTGTGCCTCGTGCTCGTGATTGCTTTGCTCCCTTAGCCAGCGTTTCTCTTCTGCCTTCCAGGTTTCCAGCAGATTTCCCTGCTCTCTTCCTATGAAGTTGTAACCCCGCAGAGGTTGGGAAGAGAACGGCGAGAGGCTTCCAACAGCTCCTCAGTGCAGGTATTGGGCCATCTTATCTTCAGTTTAGTGTCTAGTTCCTAACGAGATCCACCCAAAACTGGCCTGAAACGCTCATGGAATGCTGTCAGACTCATCCACAGTAAGGGATGCCAGGTTCTGGAGGCAGGGGCAATTATAAAATAGATTCCAGGCTCACCACTGCTTTTGTGGATTTCAAAGAGTGTTTTATTTCATTGGCATGAGTAAAATGCAACTTTTTTTTTTATATTCAGGACAAAGTATCATATGCTATTGAGATCGAGGGACAGGAATACACCATTCATCTAGAAAAGAACAAGTAAGTGCTGAGTTTCTTTAGATTATTGAATTATTCAGTCTGCTGTGTCCAGATGACAAGCTGGCAGGTAGCACATGGGTTCCATTTCCTGGGGTTCTCTGTGGGAAGGGCAGGAACGTCCCCAAAAAGAGAAGAGATTGAGTCCCAGAGTCCTGGCCATCAGCCAGAGACGTTTTTGGATTCCTGCAGCCCTGGGATCCCCTTTCAGAGCAGGAAGCTGCAGTTTGCTCAGAGGGGATCTGGGAAATCGTGGACGCGACTCTTTCCATTCACAGCTAAAAATAAACAAGCTGAACTGCATTTCGAGTAAATGTTTTCACTTTTGTCTGGATTTTATTTATTGCTTTAGGTTTGTGTTTTTTCCTGTCTCAGTAGCACAAGGACACTAATAAATGAGGAAATGGACTCTCTATCCAAGGCCTGAATACTGACAGCTCCCAGCCAAGACAGATGCTGTCAGTCTGGGGTTGAAGTGTTCAAGGGCCACTTACAGCACCAGCACGTGGCCATTGGTGCTCCAAACTGCCCTTGTGAGAGAGACACAACTGTACAAGTCCCTGGGGAGCTCCAGCTGCCACTTGCAAAGGCTCTGACCCTCAGAAATGTGGGAATTCAGCTGCACCACATCAATGGAATTACCGGGATGGCGCAGCAATCTTAGTCGTGGGAGACTTTCCCAGTGCACTTTCTCCCCACACTGGGCAAGAGAAGGCATATGCAGCAGACTGAGGGCTGGGATGTTTTTTCTTGTTTGAAAACAGGCTTTTAGCATAATTTAATAGGTTTTGCTGCTTGTTTTACTCTGAGTGGTTCATTTGATTTCATTAACAGTTCCACCATTCTGCTCTCTAGGATTTTGCTGTGTAAATGCACAATTTCTTTGTTAATTTTGGAGGGTTTTCCTTTTGAGTGTTTCCTTATTTAATTGCATTTTACATATTTGCCACGCTTTTGATTAGGATCATCTCAGTGCTCTGCTCAAGTGTCATTTCATGAAATTCCTCTTGTATTCCTTCTCCCCTTTCCTTGCAGAGAACTGCTGCCCAAAGATTTCACAGTTTATACCTATAACAAGGAGGGAAAGTTGCAATTGGAATATCCAGATGTCCAGGTAGGACTTCTTTCTTTTCATGCCCTCACTGAAGGTGACTGGAACACTGAGCATCTACGGGATGAGGGATTACAAAAGGATAGTTGTATTTTCTGCTGGGCTCCCTTCAGGACCCACTGCCCTCTTCCTGGAGAGAATCCCTGATTTTGTATGAGGATCTAGCCTGTAATAGACTTGTATTTTCTGATGTGGAAGTGGTTGCTGTCTCATTAAAAGCTGCTCTTCTCCAAAAGGCAGTGCTGCTCTCAGCTGTCGATGTCTCGTTATCAGAGCAGTCGTGTCCTTGTCACACAGCCCAGCGTGGGGCTGGTGTCACTTCTGGCTTCTGCCTTCGTTCTCCCAAGGTTGGGAGCCCGTGGGGCAGCACTGGGTGCTCTGGGGACTGCACAGGCAGCTTTGCTTTTGTTTTTACACACAATGGACTTCCAGATGGGTCCCCGAGCCAACGTGAATGGTCAGCTGCTGACCCTCCCGTTCAGCAGGGCTGCCTCTTCTGTACAAGCAGCCTGGCTGACAGGTTGCCTTTGGAAATGTATCTGCTTCAGGAGAATAGGAGTAAAAAGCGGGTTGTGTGATACAAAATGCATGAGAGTATTTCTAATGGCTTCACTCTTCCTTTGAGAGGGAAGTGTTAGTCATACATGATTCATAGGATCTTGTTCCTGAAAGCAGAACACCTGAGTCAACGGAGTATTTGCTTCTAGTTAAAAGGAACTGAGTAGAGGAAAAATGCTTTTTCTGCACGAGGTCACGGGAGTCACAGTGGCCCTGAAGGATTAGCACATACCTTAAGTGCTTTCTGCTTTCCTTGCTGAGCAACAGGTGACAGAGTCTGCATAATAATACCCCTACAGCAGTGTCCAAAAATGCCCCTGCTGGGGAAAATGGAGTGTATTTGCCCCATGCTGCCCCTTGTCTAGTTTCAAGTGAAGTGTTCCCTCTGTCAGGGCTGTCCCGCAGAGCCAGGAAGCGCCGGCAGCGCCGTGACAGTGGGCGAGGGCGGCAGGTCTCGTCCCTCCTCCTGCTGCAGAGAGGCCGTGGATGAGCCAGGACTCTTTGCCAGAAGACTGAATTGGCCCAAATCTGCAGGGAGGGGCTGGCCTCGAAACATGTGAGGCAGGGCGGAGGCTGGAACAGGAGAAGGGTAGCCTAGGTCGAGTTAAGAAATCCAGGGACTGGATAACACTCCAGGCCTGCTCGCCTGGAGCCCCTCACGTGTGGGCAGCGCCAGCTCCAAGTCTGGCTGCAGGAGGAATGGCTGAGGGGGCCAGTGGGGCTTCAAACTGAAATCCATAGTGAGCTGCTGGCCCCACTGAGTTGGGAGGAGTGTCTGCTTTGCAGGAGCAGGGATCCTGTTGGGTCCTGTGTCCTGTCCTTGAATACTGTCATGTTCATCAGTCCCTGTGGGACCAAGGCAGGTGGGGAAATCTTTAGATGCACGTGAGCAAATGTGGTAGAGCTGGAACCATGATAGAAGCTACAGGCACGTGGTAAATTTAACTGAGAGTGTTTTGTTTTCTCAGGTTGTAGTCACAGCTGGTCAGTGGTAGATCAGAGATCACCCTGGGCGTGCAGGTACACCTGGAGCACGTGTGTAACACACCCTTGTTTTCCCATCCAGGATCACTGCCATTATCAGGGATTTGTGGAGGGGACCCTGGATTCCGTGGTGGCTGTCAGCACTTGCTCGGGGCTCAGGTAGCACAACTCATGTTCTGTGTCCTGACTGTCATGTTGTGGCTGCTGAACCTGAAACCCACTTCTGCTGGTTTTAACTGCAGCTCAGCCAGTCAGGGAGTCACTGGCCAGGCCGAGCTGCCTTGGTGCTGTTGTCCTTTGGCATCTTTTATTCATGGAGTTGACAGATATTTGAAGTACCATTAAGTAAGTTATTACTGCAGTTTGTTACCAGTAAGTTGGTCTTGACACAAATTTGTCTTATTTTCTGATTTGCACAGATGGTCTCAACAAGGAACTGGACCTAAGTGCAGAAATGGAAAGTCAAACAGTAGTCTGCAAATTTCACCAAATTGACCCTAAAACTTGTGCAGCTCAAGTTTGATTGAAATTTATTCTACTTTGGTCTGATTGCCTCATGTTTTGAGCCACTGATTTTCTTGCAGGGCCATGCCAGGCACCAGAGGGGCAACAGTGTATTTGAACTAAAACATTTCTGCTTAAGGCCTGTGATGTAATTCCTGGGGCATTGCAGACCCCTAGAGAAGTGTTTGATTTACTGGATTTGTAAGGCCCCCTCCAGTGAAAGGCTGCTGCCAGGCCTGAAGTGGAGTGTGCTGGTTTGCAAGGACTGAGACACAGGCAGGCCTTGGTTATCCAAGAATAACTGTTCCTTTGTTCTGCTTTCTGGGTAACTGTGCTTAGTGCTGGCTTTCTCACACACTGCCGTGTTTTAGGGGCTTGGTGACAATAGGCAATGTCACTTACGGGATTGAGCCCTTGGATTCCTCTTCTGGCTCTGAACACATCTTATATCGACTGGAGAATGTGAAGAGAGAGCCCACGACGTGTGGAGTGACGGCTGAAGGCCCGGAAAAGGAGCAGGCAGAGGGAAATCCCCATCCCAGTATGACCCAGCTGCTCCGGGTAAGTCCTTCCCAGTCCCCTGTAATGGGTTTTGCGAGTTCACCTAAGAGTATGGAAGCAGCTTAGCAGATTTCCTTGGGCTTAGCACATACCTAAAGGTTTATGATTTGGGAGGTTTCTGCACTGCTGGAGAACTCAGTTCCTTCAGCAAAGCACCTGCAGTTTCCTCCTGCCTCTGCACGGGGCAGTGAGGGTGGGGCAGCTGGTTAGAATATTCCTGGGCTTTCTGGGGGGGCTTTTAAGGCCAGGAACACCACCCTCATGGAGAGGCTTGTGAAGGCAGTACTGCATCAGGAGCCAGGAGAATATTGTGGTGTTTATTCCATCCTCCTCACCATCACAAGAGCAGTTTGGTGTGAAGGTCCCCCTTGCCCTTCAAGGACTGGCTGTACAGGAATAGATTCCAGTGAAAGCAGGAGCATGAGAAAGGTTGTTGGCATCTTCTTGTATCTCTCTGCCCCTGTATAAAAGTGTGTGCTGCCCTTTCAAAGCAACCTATGTGGAGAGTGAAAAGATCCCTTGCTTTTGAGACGCAGGAAGTCTTTGTGCAAGCTGAGTTTTAGTGTAAAACCCAGAAATGGCCACTGCACTGGATTACACTGCCTGTGTTTGGCACAGTGTGCTTTGGGTGTGTCTCAAACCACTGGTTGTATCAAGTGAAATATGACAATGTCTTGAGTTGTTTTTTTTCCTTGTTCACATTTGAATTAATAAAACTGAAGTTGCCTAAAACTTTTTTTCCCCAGAGAAAGAGAGCAGTCCTGCACCAGACAAGATATGTGGAGCTGTTCATAGTTGTGGATAAAGAAAAGGTAGGGATTGTATGTGGCTTTCCCTTTCTTCCACTCAGGAGTGGACCTCTTCTCTTCATGATTACCTTTTTTTTGTCTTGCAGTTTGAAGATTTTGGGAAGAGTGAAACAGAAGTAAGAGAACACATGGTGCAGCTGGCAAACTTCCTTGACAGTGTGAGTAGGAGGGGTGCTGCGTGCTGCAGCCCTGCTGCCTTTTGTGAACTTCCACCTCAGGGTCTGTTCTGGTGCCACTCTGGGGAATGCATCACCGTGGAAGCTTTTCCACCTCCAAATTCACCTGCAGCCACCCACCTGGAGAATTAGTTTAGGGAACTCTTTCTGTTTGGTGTCTCTTTTACAGTGTGGCATTTAAGCATTGATTCTTTACCTAATGAGGGCCTAAATTACAGGGCAAATGCATTCTGGTGATTCCAGTTGTGTACTAGCTGTAGGGGGGGAAAAATCAGACTCACACAGAAAAGGTGGATACTTGTGATAAGATCTATAACACCAAGCCACTTGTTTTTATCTGAAGGTATTAATAAATATTTCTTTTTATTAATAAATATTTTTTTTCTTCCCCAGATGTACATCATGCTGAACATCCGCATCGTGCTGGTCGGTCTGGAGATCTGGAAGTACGAAAACATCATCAGCACGGACGGGGGGGCCGGGGATGTGCTGGCAAACTTCGTGCAGTGGCGAGAGAAGAACCTGGTTCTGCGGCGGAGACACGACAGTGCCCAGTTAGTCCTGTGAGTGCCAGCTCCTGCCCTTTGGTACCTAGAGGCTCGTTCTGTTCCTGCCTGCTCAGCCCAACTATTGTGCCAAAAGGAGCTACTGGACAACCTTCAGGGGTTTGTCTTGTGAAAACATTCCAAGTCAAGTGAAGCATTTTTGGGAAGGTTTCCATGCTCTCTGATTTCAGTGTCCTCTGACAGGTGTATCGATAAATAGCACATTTTTTTCTCATCCCACGTGTCCTACAGTGTTCTGTGTTGTGCTTCTGTTCAGATAATCACTTTGTAACAGATTGGGCTTGTCAGCCAGGGCCTTTTCCACTTGAAAATGAGCACAAACGTGGTGCAGAGCACTGCCTTTTAATGGAGAAAAGGTTGTTTGTGCAGTTGGTGTCCAGAAGCCGGTGATGTGGTTGGAGTTTGGCACAGGATGTTAATCTGTCTGTCCCTGCTGCCTTAAGCAAGCCCAGAGCTTCCTGAGCTGTCCTCTGCCCTGTTCCAGGACGTGTGCCCCAGTGCACTTCCTACTCCTGCAGATAGCACAGGCCTTGGGAAGTCACTGCCCAAAGCAGGGAAGGGGCAGAGGCAAGAGCACAGCCCAGACTGCCCTTTCCTTCCTCTGGGAGCTGAGAACCTCCTCCCCTCCAAGGCAGAACAGCAGCGTGCAGATGATGGGGGAAATGGCTGAGAAAATACTAATTTTAGAAGTTCTGCTGCACAAAGTAAAATGTGGTGCAAGTGTGCTGTGGCACTTCAGCTTTAAGAACAAAATGAGCGAGTAATGAGAAGCTTTTTATATGCAGGGAAGAGGCTGACTTTCTGCAAACACTTGGTTTTAAATTAACAGAATAAAGGAATCTTGAACAGAAAGTAAAGCTGAACTGGTGTGTTCGTGCCTGCAGTCAGTAGCAGCGCTCCTGGCAGTGCTCCTGTGTCAGCCTTGGAAAGCTGGAGCAGCAGGATTTGTGCCCCACAGGCAGGAGCAGTGTGCTGATGGGCTGTGAGTGTCTGAACAGTCAGATGATGGCCTTGCCTTTCTCTGTAGGAAGAAGGGGTTTGGTGGCACAGCTGGAATGGCCTACGTGGGAACAGTGTGCTCCAAAAGCCATGCAGGAGGCATTAATGTGGTGAGATTTCTTTGGTGATCTCTGAATGTGAGCAAGAGCAGAGTTTTGCACTCCAGAAGTCTTCCTGGAAGTGCAGAATCTTTCATAACAAAGCTGAAGTGGCTTATTGAGGGCTTTAATGTTGTCCTCAGCCATTTCTGACACTCATGCAGAAGGAACAGGATTTCTCTGTAGTATTTTAAGCACTCTTGGCTTGGAAGTACGTGGGAGCTGTGGGTGTTGTCAAATCTGTCCTGTGCTGTCTAACCTGCAGCCATGACCTCCCTGAGCAGTGCCAGTTCACTGCCTGTTTTATGTGGAATTGCAGAGCCTTAATGAACTGAACTGCTGGTCTTGGATAACTGGCAAGCCCAACAATCTGGTTTCCTTGGGCTAGTGATGGAAGTGCTGGAATTCACACGTTTCAGGAGATCAGGGTTGGTGTGGGGAATTCTAGTTCTTGTGTTAACATTGCAGCTGCTCTAGAAAGTGGAGGTTGTTGGGTAGTGTCCCAAAGAGATTTCTCTGAAGGCTCTTATTACTAAGCAAATTCCAGGCACTTGATTGGAAATCCGGCACTGTTGATCTGAGAGTCCTGATAATGTAGAGACAGAACAGCAGAAGTGTCTCTTTGGCACAAATGTAAACACTGACTCTGCCAGTATAAGCTCTCTGCTGATTGCCTTCTGTTTCACTCCTGTGCAGTTTGGAAGGATCAGTATCCAGATGTTTGCATCCATCATGGCTCACGAGCTTGGCCATAACCTGGGGATGAACCACGATGACGAACGTGTCTGTCACTGCGGGGCCAGCAGCTGCATTATGAGCTCCGGAGCATCGTAAGTAACTGACCCAGGGAAGGCAGAGGAGGGTCAAAACACCCCATCCATGCACTTCATTGTTATGGATTACTTTTGTCTTCAAATTCCCCTTTTAGAGAGCGGTGTCGTGCTTGTAGCTCATGGGGAGAGCAAACATTACCCTTGTTCTGCAAACAGAGGGGATGCTCGTGGGTTTTCCTAGTGTAAAGCTCAGCTCGTGTTCTCTGTTGCAGGGGATCGAGGAACTTCAGCAGCTGCAGCGCAGAGGACTTTGAGAAGCTGACTCTCAACAAAGGTGGGAGCTGCCTGCTCAACGTTCCGAGGCCTGACGAGACCTACAGCGTCCCGTACTGCGGGAACAGGCTGGTGGACGCTGGGGAGGAGTGTGACTGTGGCTCACCAAAGGTTCGTAGCTGGGTATTTTCCCAGTGCTGCTAGGGCAGCCTTGTGCCCCTTGCTCAGAGGGGGCAGTCTTGTGACACTCACAGTGCTTCTGTTCTCAGGAATGTGAGAGCGATCCGTGCTGTGAGCCAGGGACTTGCAGGCTCCGATCCGGTGCTGAGTGTGCCTATGGTGACTGCTGCAAAAACTGCCGGGTAGGAGATTCCAGCATGTTGTTTGCAAGTTGAGAAAAGAAGAGCGTTGGCTTAGCCAGTGCACCTGTGTGAGAGGGAGGTGTCCTGCAAGTCCACAGATGATCCTCCATTTGGGGCTTGTGCAGTGTTTGTCTCTGCCCCGAGGTTCCTGTTTCCTGATGCGGTTTCCCTCCCCTCTCCCTCCAGCTCCTCCCCGGAGGAACCGAGTGCCGGGCGAGCAACAACGAGTGTGACCTGCCGGAGTACTGCAACGGCACGTCTCAGTTCTGCCAGCCCGACTTCACGGTGCAGAACGGGCACCCCTGCCACGACCAGGAGGCCTACTGCTACAACGGCGTGTGCCAGTACTACGACGCCCAGTGCCAGGACATCTTTGGCCCGAGTAAGGGGCAGCACAGGGTTGCAGCCGCTCTGGGAGATGTACCTGAAGAACACCCCGAGTTTATTTCGAGTATATTTTACTTGTTTTACTACTGGCTGTGGTAGAGGGTTTGAAGCAGCGGTGGTTATGGCTTAGCCTCCGCACGTTGTTCCTGTGTCACGCTCGGTGCTGTGCTGGGGGTTCAAGCAGTAATTCTGTTGCACTGATCGTTCCTGGTGCAGTGGGATTTCTGCTCTACAGGGCTGCAAGGAAGCCATGAGGAAATATCAAATGGTAGAACTGACTCAGTGTTGAGTGACTGTTTTTCTCTCTGTTTAAACCTGGAGCCACTGTCACCTCCTTATAGTTCCTAAGCTCCCTGCTGCAGAGTAATTACTTTGGATATGGGAGACATGGTGTGAGATGTTTCTGTCCCCAGCTAATGTGTCTTCTCTCTCTGGGGATGGGCTGTTGTTTGCAGAAGCCAAAGCAGCCCCAGACATTTGCTTTGCTGAAGTGAATTCCAAGGGGGACAGATTTGGCAACTGTGGTTTCCATGGCCATGACTACAAGAAATGTTCCAGCTGGTGAGTTGAGCCCAGTGCCTGGGGAAGTTCTGAAATGCACCGTTGGGAATCTGTGTTTGGGTGCTGTAGTGTCAGTTTGGGATGCTGTAGCGGGTGCACTGAGGAGGGAGGTGGGACTGTGGTGAGGACAGCGTGTTCCACGTCTCCCATCATGGGTTGTGCCTTGTCCCAAGGGCTCACATGTGGGCAAAGGAGCAGTAAATCATCATGTTTTCCTTAATGTAAAGATCCCAACAGCTTCCAGAGAGAAGGGTGCTCTTGCTGCACTGAAATGAGGCCCAGTTCGGTTTAATTTGTCGAGTTGCCTCAATTTTATTTTCAAGTAGAATCTTCAAGTACAAAGGAAAAAATCAAATGGAACGTGTGATAGTCTTGTTCTCAGAATGAATTCAAGTGTCACTACAGCGTTCCTGTGTTGCTGTTGTAGGAATGCCATGTGTGGGAAGCTGCAGTGTGAAAATGTGAAAGCCATGCCTGTGTTTGGAATCAAGCCTGCTATTATCCAAACTCCCATCAGAGGCACCACTGGGGTGTGCTGGGGGGTGGATTTCCAGCTGGGCTCTGATGTCCCAGACCCAGGAATGGTGAATGAAGGCACCAAGTGTGGTAATGGAAAGGTAATTAACAATTTAGAAGTGATATCCTAATTTAATAATTCAGGATGTTCACAGGAATAAAATTTTCAGCTGCATTGTTTCATGAATATTTATGGGCACTATTTTTTGATGCCTGTAGTTAATTTAAAACTAAACGAGCCCATTGATTCCCCCCACTGCCCAGTGCTGCACTGCATGTGCATCAAACACTTAATGAGCCTTTCTCTTGGAGGTGAAGCGAAAGAAATTGAGTTTGTTGAGAGCCAAAATCTTTGCTCTGTCAATGAGCAGGAAGAGCCAGGCCCACACAAATGCCTTGAAGACAACTTTCAATTAAAATCCAACTAAACCAAAGAGCACAGAGGCTTAGCCCCAGCAGAGGAATGTGCATTCCACATGTCCTTACTGGGCACAGTTTAATTGCTGTTCCTTTACATTCAGACTAGAGACAAAAGGCCCTAGTGCCAGCTCAGGCCCCATGCTGAGAGGCCCTTTGTGGAGCAGAGTTTCTGCAGAGTTGGGGTTTATCAGTGAGAGTGTGAGAGGCTTTGTGGCAGGAGCACTGTGTGGCTGCAGAGCTCCACGCTGGGAGCAGGAAGCTGGGGAGGCAGGGGGCACTGAAATGTCATCTTCCCTCATCCGTGTGCATCTCTGCTCCCCAGATCTGCAGGCACTTCCAGTGTGTGAGTGCCTCTGTCCTGAACTACGACTGTGATGTGGAGAAGCAATGCCACGGGCATGGGGTAAGCGGGGCAGGAGAAGGCAGCAAGTTTTTAAATGGTGATTGGTACCTTTATTTTTCTGTTTTGTGCGAACTGTAAAACTCTCTCTAGGCAAGAGAGCCTGTAACAGTGTCAAAAAAATCTTTGACAAAGCTCTTTGCCAGGCAAGAATTCCCAATTCCAGTATCACTAATGAAATTTGACTCTGCATCTCAAAAAAAAAAAAAAAAAAAAAGAGGCAAGCAAAAGCCATGGTGTGTAAGCTGTTGGGATAGCTAATCCTTGGAAGCCTTTCCTGAACAGTGCTGTGCGTGCTCAGTCATGTGAAATCTGGGGGTGCCTGGCCAAGGACTGTTTGGAGTCGATGTGGGAGTTACTGGGTGAAGCTCTCCAGGCTGAGCAGCACAGCAGGACACAGCAGGTCGTGGCTGCTGCACGCTGCTCTAATTGCATGGAAATGGAAGTTCCTGAGCAGAGGTGGTTGTGGTGTTTGTGTTTTGGAATACAGGTGTGCAACAACAACAGGAACTGCCACTGTGAAGCAGGCTGGGCCCCCCCTTTCTGTGACACCAAAGGCTACGGAGGCAGCGTGGACAGTGGTCCCCCGTACAATGGCAAGTGGTGTGGGAGCTGTGGGGCAGTGGTTGGAGAAGTGGAAGATTTAGCATCAGACCAAAGGGCAGAAGCTCTGTCTTCCTCTCTCATAACATCTTCGCAGTAATGAAAAATGAGGATTGATCTCCTAATTCAATATGCTGTTGTAGCCCGGGGTGTTATGGCATGTACAGCTCTTTCATCTTTAACCAGGCAATCCCTGTGAAAAGATAAACAGAAAAGAATCTCTTTGGGCATTTATCTTGCAGTCTTACCGGGTTCTTTTGTTTTTCTTCTGTGAAAAATGGAAAGCAGTTGTAGAACCACTTCACTGCCGCTGTGAGTCAGGTGGTGGTGACACCACATCAGACTTATTTCTTCTCCACGGTTTTGTGCCCTCAGACAAAGACACCTCTCTGCGGGACGGGCTGCTGGTGTTCTTTTTCCTGGTGCTGCCACTCCTGGTTGCTGCTGCCCTGGCCTTTGTAAGGAGGGACAGGCTGAAGCGATGCTTCAGGAGGCTGATGTCCCGCTGCCACTCGTGAGTGCCTTCTCCTTCCCACCTTCTCCTCAGCCCTTGGAATGCTCTGGGGATGTTGTGTATAGGAGCCAGTGCCAGGGTGTGGAGGTGTATCCCAGTCCCAGGTCAGGCAAAGACCCCTGCATCCAATGGCATGTGTAGCCTGCCCCTGGCAATGACAAAAAAGGCAGTTTCATCCTAAATCAAGAGAGCAAAGAATTTTCTCTTTACCATTATGTCTGTTGTCGTGCATTAGAGATGGGGGTCTATATTTTTGGGTCCCACCTTGCTATTAAGTGGCAAGGGGAAGCTCTCAGAATCCTAAACAGAGAGTTGTTGTTTAACTAGATTTGTGGTAAATATTATCTTGCTGACATTTGATGTCTAATAGGACAGTATAAGTCCAGCTGTCAGGGTTCATGGCCTGCACAGTCACTGTGTCCAGGTTATGTGCTCACACAGTCCCTTTCCATCGGATTTCAGGTCACTTCAGTCACCTCCTCCTCGGCCAGACACCGAACCCAGGGACTACCAGCACAGAGGCTTCTCCCACGGCATGCCTTACGCTCCAAGAGCTGTACCCACGGTAGGAGTCGTCTCCTCTCCGTTACTGGGTTACTCTCAAGTAACAGATGATAGTATTTTATGTAATATTTGCCCTAATAAAAGCTTCAAAGTTACTTCTTCATTTCTGGAAATGGTGTCTTCCCTTTGCTAAGAAGCAGAGGGAATATTTATTTCCTAATTAGCGGTCGTGAGTGACACTTAACTAATGACACAAACACTTCGACTCCCTGCGTGCAATTTGTGAACGGTCTTGTTATATTCTCTTTAGCAGGACATGGATCCAAACACCTTTCCTGTCCCAGCTTACCCAGTGAACCAGCACCCTCAACAGGCTTTCCACCAGCCCTACTATCCCCCGCCGCAGTACCCGGTGCAGCAGCCGCCGAGGCTGCCCAGCAGGTCAGTGGAGTTACTGCGAATACCTGTTGGCACTGAAGGGGTTTGTCCTCCTGGCCTCCCTCCCCGGGAGCACTGGGGTGTTCCATCATGTGCTGTGTGCAGGCAGGGCTGACTTCTCCCTGGGAGAAGTTCCTCCTTCACCTCACCCTGAGCTGCTGGGCCGTGCCCCCTGTGTGGTGATGGACAAGGCTCGGCCTTGCTGGGGGAGGGGGGCAGTGGCCGTGGCTTGGTGGCCGGGGGGGGTCTCGTGCTGGGTGGGTGATGGGTGTGGGTGGTGGGTGCAGCCCCCCTGACTGATGGCAGCTCCTGTGTCCTCTTGCAGGCCACCACCCCCGCAGCAGAAGGTCGTACCTCAGGGGCCGCCACCGCCACAGCAGAAATGTTTACCTCAGGGACAGTATTTCCCTTCCCGACCGGCACCTTTGCCTCCCAAATAGCTTTGGGCTTTCTCGGGGCCTTCCCCTGAGCTGAGCTGGTGGCTGTCCCCCTCGTGGCACCACGGCAGCTGGGACAGGGCAGGGAGAGATCCAAACCAGGAATGTAGGACTTCACACTAATAAATACCTCGACCAAAGCTCCAGGGACTGAGACACCCGGCCTGTTCCTCGCTCCGTCCGTCCGAGCTGCAGCCGGGCTGGCAGCGGGAGCGCAGCAGCCTGGGGGGGAAACAGCCCTGAAATCCAGCACGTGGGGCTTGCTTTGGGTTTCCCCATTTCTGCCCTGAGCCCTGGTAAGGAAATTGTCTGGTTCATTGTCATCTCTCTGACTGTGCAGTGAGGAATCGGAGTAACCCGCTTGCAAAACAAGGAGATCTGGTCAGTTAATTTACAGTTACTCTGCATGGACTAGAAAGTGTTTCCTGTGTACACCTTGATGGCACAAGTGGAATGAGGTCTCAGTGGACTTTTTCAGACGAAGAGAGATATATTTTAAACATGTTTGTGCATGTATATATGTTTATAGATGCGTAATAATGCACTTAAATCCTTAATTCCATGCTGACTGACACTAAACTGTGCTGTAGGAACACTGAGTTTAATGCTTTTTAATTAGAGATTGGCTAAATGAGACTCCTGTACTAATTCCCACTAATACATGGATAGGCAGTGAAGATAAAGGTACGAGAAGACACGGCCATGTTCTGGTTTTAAAAAATGGGGTGCTGTTAGGTTTTAATTCAGGTTTAAGGACAGAGCAGCAGTTCCTGCAGGACAGTAGGAAGCAGGAAGTGTCTCTGCCTGGACCAACAGAGCTTCTCTGTGCACTTCAAACAGGAACCTGGTGACTGCACCCTCTCTTTTAATCCCCAAACCTTTGTAGTGTCAGTCAGGATGCTTTCAGGCCACCTTGTGTCAGACTAGAGTGCCCTCTGCTCCTGCCCCACGGGCTAGACTGGAGTTTGGAATTCCTCCTGAGCGGAGTTGCTCAGCATGCAGTGTGCTGGGAGAGGAGGAGGAGCTGTGGATCCTGATCCTGTGGAGCCGTGGGTAGAAGCTGGATGTTGTGGTCACAAATAGGAATCTATTTCACAACTTGCTAAAAGTGCTGAAGAGAATGCTGGGCTGTTTCACTCTGTGCTCACCACAAGCACAGCTCAATCTGTAAAATCCCCCTAATATTGCCAAAAAAATCATCTTTTCCTCTGTATATACATATATAAATATATATATATAGTGTGTGCAGTAATAAAATACTTGAACTCCTGTGGTTTCCCATAAACTTAGACTAAGATTTATAACACTATTAAAATCTGTAAAATGTCACCTAGAATTTCACCAGCTGTACTGGTGGGGGTCTCCTGTTTGTTCCAAGATAATCAATCACTTCCAAATGTTGCTGTGTCCTGCTCCCCCTGGGCTGTCTGTCTGTCTCTCACAGGGAGCTCTGCAGCTGGCCCATCTCTAGCCCCAGTCAGAGGGTGGGAGGGAGGAGAGGATCCAGGGAATGAAGTCATCCAGAGGGATGTGCTCAGCTGTGTGTGACGCTGTGTGTCTGAACTAAACTATGCTGAAAATGGTGCCTTTACAAGACAAAGAGTTCTTGCACTCCCAGCGTGCACGTTGGAATAGCTGAGGGCAGGGACGTGGGGCTTAGGGGTGATCTCGTGGACAGGACGTGGCTCCAGTGTTTTGTGTTGAATGCTGACGATGACTACTGACTTTCTTTTGTAAAGTGTACGGATTCCTGTCCCCGGGCGGGTCTGGAGCTGGCGGGGCCGCGGTCGACACCCGTGGGCTCCCCCACAGCCGGCCCATGCCGGGCTCTGGCCAAAGGGCTGTTCCCAACCCCTTTGTACGGACCCAACGAGCAATAAAGATGCCAGTTTTGTACAAGGCTCTGCCTCAGCCTCTGCTTTAGGGGCGGGAGGGGCCGTTACCAGCGGGACCGTTACCTGTGGGGCGGTTACTGGTGGGCTGTGGGGCTGTTACCGGCCTGCAATGGGGGCACTGCTGCTGCTCCTGCTGCTCCTGGAGCTGCTGCATGAGGCTGGGCAGGGCCCCCCCACGCCCTCCACCCCCCGGCTCTGGGCTCAGCTATGGGGGTCTCTGTCCCCTCTGGGCTGGCAGGTTCCATCCCAGGTCACCGTCCCACAGCAGCTGCCGGCAAACGTGACCGGAGTGACGCGGCTGCAGCAGGTACGGTGCTGGGGAGGGGGAGATGGGGGGAAGTGAGGTCTTCAGCTGCAGAGGAGAGCTGGGGGGCTGCAGATGTGCTGGCAGCTGTGATGGTGTCACCAGAGCAGAGCTGCCAGCTCTGTGCTCATCCTTGGTGTTCGCAGGGGGCCTTGGACAGTGCTGGTCCAACTCCCTGTTCCTAATTCTCCTGTTCTCTACTTTTCTGCACGCACAAGGACACAGTGTCCTACATCCTGAGGATCGAGGGGAGGCTGTACACCATCCACCTGCAGCAGCAGTGAGTTGGCCCTGATGCTGCCCCTGCTGACAGTCATTGCCTCGTTCCCTGGTGGCTGCAGGACCTGTGAGAAGCTCAGGGTAATGGATGTTGTTGTAAGTGCTTCACTTTGCACCTTTCTCTCGTAGTGCCTTTTTATCTGACGATTTCCAGATTTATGTGTCGGACAAGGAGGGCTCTTTGGGCCCTGATTCAGCCCACATCGAGGTAACCTGCCTTGTTTTGGGGTTTTTGTACCCTAAGTGTTGCAGCGTGGATCTCTGCCCCGTGCAGCCAGTCCAGCTGGCTGGCTGAGAATCACCTTCCCAGCCCCAGAAGAGGCTCTCTGTCCTCTGTCACACTGCAGGAAGGCTGCCACTACTGGGGGTACATCGATGGCTTCCCCAACTCAGCAGTGACCCTCAGCACCTGCTCGGGGCTCAGGTAATGAACCACCACATCCCTGAGCTGCCCTGCCCTCAGGTGCTGCTGGGCCTTTGCTGTGGGGAGCCCAGGGATGGCCTGGAGGCAGTGCCAGGAGCAAATGGGCAGTGCCACTGCCTTGGCAGGGGTTTGCTGCAGTTTGAGAACGTCAGCTATGGCATCGAGCCCCTGGACGATTCCCCCGCGTTCCAGCACCTCGTGTATCGAGTGGGGGAGGAGGAGGCAGCAGGGTCCTTCCTGGCTCACAGCCCCCCTGGGAGAGGGCTGGGTGGGCTGGTGACGGAGGAGACATCAGCAGAGGCCCATGGGGATGCCGAGGTGAGCAATGTCTGCTCTCACAGTGCTGCTCTTGTCCTGTCCCACGAGGAGGAGCCTGATCCCACAGGAAGCTCTGGCCGGACACTTGGCCACAAGCTTTGGAGGGAGGCTGGAGCAGCACAGCAAAAGGCAGCAGTGAGGTGATGGAGGACACAGGAACCTGTCCACTGGAGTACATTGGAGCCCATTTTCTCTTCCAGCACCTCTCGGCAGCAGCACGATCTCCCAAATACCTCACCGTGTACGTGGTTTTGGACAGCGCTTTGGTAAGCTGTGCCAGACACTTCCTCCTTGTCTCTGCCTGCCTGAATTCTGTGAGCATGGAAATTGTGCCATTTCCCAGCTTGTTCGTGGATTTGTTTTCCCTCTTGAAAAATTGCGTGTACTGTGGATTTTGTAGGAAAGGAGGAGTGCAGATTTGCAGCTCACATCTCCATGGCTGGCTGTTGGGAATCACTTCAGTCTTCCAATATTGTTCTGCACTTACATCCTCTTGGCTTGTTTTTCAGTACAACTATATGGGGTCGGACCCGAATGCTGTCACACAGAAGATAATCCAGGCTTTCAATTTAGTCAACAATGTGAGTTTTAAAGTCTGGTTTGTATTGCAGTAAGATGGGGGGGCAGCAGTGATGTTAGTAGTGGTCATCTCTCTCCTAGGTGCTTTTGGGTTTAGGAGAAGCCATTATGGTTCATGTGTGTAATGAGAAATTAGTCCTAAAATCCCTAACTTCTTCCTATGAAGTTATTGGGCTTTGGCTCAGGCCTCTTGCTAGATCTCTTTATTTTTCAGGTGTGTTCATTCTTTTTGGCTACAGATGTCACTGAGGGACTGACAGCAGCAATTGGCTTTTCCCATGTGCTTATGTGCAGAGCAGTGACTGCACACAGGGAAGGTGTGTGAGCAGATGTTTCCTTTCTGCTTTCAGATGTTTAGTCCCCTTAACGTCACCATTGTGCTGTCCTCCCTGGAGCTGTGGGCAGAGGGAGATAAAATACTGACAGCAGGGGATACAGATGACCTTCTGCAGCGATTTTTACAGTGGAAACAGTTGACTCTGGCACTGCAGACACACGATATCGCTTGTCTCTTAGGGTAAGATAAAGGTTCCTTAATGTTAAAGGTTAAGTCAACCAAACCAGTGTAGGTTGAACTATAAAGATTCCCATGACAAATGCTTTTTAAAAGCCATATTTCTTACATAATTCCTAATTTCTTAATGTTCTGGAAGTACTTCTTCCAAGGCTTTCCTCTTAACCAGCCCTTTCAGTGGCAGTGCAGCAGCCATGGTGATGCCATCCCATCCCACTCCACCCCACATGCCCTGGCTGAGAAGAGGCTCTGCAGGCTCTGGCACTGGACACTGGCCCCGTCCCAGCTCCCCCAGGGACAGCAGAGCCATCAGGGCCACTGGAGGGGCCTCTGGCTGCACAGACCCACTCACCCCCAACCGCAGGGTGCCCTGGGCTGGACCACCAGTGCACTCCCCTCTGTTCCAGGTACAGGGACCAAGGAGAGCTCACGGGAGCAACGGCTCTGGGAAAGGCGTGTCAGAGAGACACTGCTGCTGCAGTGGCCCTGGTACAGTCCCACCCATCCTGCCTGGCCCCTGCCAGCCCACGTGGCCGTGACCCCAGAGCTCGCCCACGGGCAGCAGGGACAGGGTGGGTGGGAGCGGGTGGGAGTATCCACACCCAGAGCAGGGGTCTCTGCAGGGCATGCCCAGCTGTGCCAGCCTGGCTCTCTCCTCCCTCCAGTACCACGGGAAGGCGACGCTGGAGTCCTTCTCTGTCCTGCTGGCGCAGGTGCTGGGACACAGCCTGGGCATGAGCTCGGACGGCTCCCGAGCCTGCGGCTGCGCCGGGCGCGTTTGCCTCATGGGCCCCGGGGCGCTGTGAGTTGGCCGGGGGGCTGTGGGGGCTGGGGGTGGTGTCCCCTCCTCAGAGGTATCTTGGGGCCATCGTGCCCTGTGCCGGTGTCTGGGCGAGCCCTTGACTTGCACAGGGGTTTGGAGGCAGCGAGGGGTGGTGAATGTTTAAGATGTAAACTGAAAATTGCTTTATTTTAGGCATTTCAGTGGGGCAAAAGCCTTTAGCAACTGCAGCGTCAGGGACTTTGAGAGCTTCCTGAAGCAGGGCAGAGGCGAGTGCCTCTTCAACAGACCCCGCCTGACGCCCCTGTCCCCCCGGAGCGGGGCTGTCTGTGGCAATGGGGTGGTGGAGCCAGGCGAGCAGTGCGACTGCGGGACAGCCAAGGTGGGTGCCACGGGAACCACGGCTCAATCCCTGCATTTGTGATGTGGGTACGTGTGGAATAACCAACCCTTGAGACTGAGGGCCCCACTGCAGCAGGGGGCAGCCCAGAAGGGTCACGTTGGGTTGGGATGGCATCAGCCTGGTGGCAGCTCTGCCCATTTGTTCTGCACGATGCTGCCCAAGTGTAGCCTCTTGGGAAGAAGGAGGAAGAGCAGAACTGGGGGGTACAGAAAAGTTGAAATGTGGGTTTGCCATGTTTCCCCAGCAATGCCTGCATGACAGGTGCTGCACTAAAACATGTCAGCTTAAGCCAGGAGCGAAATGTTCCTCTGGATCATGCTGTAAAAGCTGTCAGGTAAGGCAACTTCTATAATTATCAGAAAATCATTATTTATTTTTGGAGAAGTAGTACGTTCCCATGCTGAGGGATGGAGCCAAACTTCCTGCTGTGCAACAGGAGAGGCTCCCGGGGTTGGGCTTCCTGGGAATCTTTTCTGGAGAGCTGCTCCTGCTCTCCAGTTCAGGAAGAAGAACTCGCCGTGCCGCCCTGCCGCTGACACGCAGTGTGACCTGCCCGAGTTCTGCAGCGGCTCCTCCGCGTCCTGCCCGCCCGACGTGTTCGTGCAGGACGGGTACAGCTGCGAGCGCGGCACCGGCTACTGCTACGGGGGCCGCTGCCAGTCCTTGGACCTGCAGTGCCAGCGGCTCTACGGGAAAGGTGACGGGCTGTCCTGGGGGCACTGGGGGCACTGGCACTGCCTAGGGGCGGGGGTGGCTGTGGGATGATGATGATGGTGTTCAGTGCTCTCCAAAGCACCACTCTCAGGTGAGAGTGGGGCACGGGGAGGGAAGGGCACAGCCTTGGGTTTGGCTCTGGTTAACCGAGTCCCCCAGTGCTCCAGAGATAACAGTGGAAACAACAAAAAACAAATTATTATCTGGGGGTGAACTCTTATCAGAGAACTGCCCCATTTGCTACTCCCTTGCTGATTTCTGGGTTCAGGACTTCTGAGAGTTTGGCAGGGCAGGGACAAGTATGTTTTCTCTAATTAAAGGAGGAAAAATGAAGTTATTATCGTACGTTCCTTTGTGTTCCTTTGACTGTAACAAATGTTATTGCTAAACTGGTAGATTCAAAGAATGCTCCTGTGGTCTGCTATGAGGAGATCAACAGCCAGAAGGACAGGTTTGGGCACTGCGGGTTCAAGCATGGACGTGGGTACCAACCCTGTTCTTGGAGGTACGCTGTGGAGGGGGCACTGGCTCTGCCAAAATGCATGTTTAATTGGGACTGGGCAGTGAAGGGGAGTGTCAAAACTCCAGTTTATAATGAGATTTGTGAAGCAATAAATAGTTCTCTATGCGTTCTCCTTATGTCACAGATTCTCTCTTGGACTTCCCAGTCCTGCTGATGTTTTCCTGC